AAGGCTTCAAGTTAACAAAAAATTACAAATTTTGAAGCATTAATAGTAAAACTTTTATTTGATAAACACCATTCTATTGCACTGTTTAGTGTTAAACACTAGTATGTARAATTAACTCGAGTTTAAGGTTTTAAGCAACCATTATATTGTAGATAACAGGGTTGCATTCACATAAATACAACAAATTGGTAGTTGGAATGATTTAAGAGAAAAACTTTACTTGATAAACTCCATGCTTTTGAGAAGTTTAGCGTTCAAAACTCCAATATTTATGAAATTTAGGTTCTGAGTTTACAGAAATTTGTCGAGAGGACTCAGAAGTTTCATGTATGCTGAAAAAGTTTGCTAAATACGCGTCAATAAGCACTAAGAAGTGGTGTTTAAACCGAATTAAAGGAAAGCTTCGCATCAATGAACTTCACGATTGTATACATATTGTGTTCAACATAGATTTGAACAATAAGCGCGAGTTGAAGACTTTTAGTTTATAAAAATTCGCAGAAAGTCATCATGGAAGATTTGCGCAACCCAGATGCAAGAAGTTTTCAAACATAAGAATAGTTTTTCTTTCAAAATAAAATTCAGAAAAAAAAAGAAAAAAAAACAGAAATCTACACACAAAAAATTTTTTTTTGTTTAAATCGGTGTAAAGGAGATATTTAATTTAATTTTCTTATGAGTCATGTTCTATATTAAACTGTAATATGGAGAGACAATAAATTTGAGTTCGAAGTACTGAGCTTATGTCAGACTGGAAAGAGAGGTCTGTGGGGGTATTTGAAAAGACAGAAGCCTGAAATTTTTCGATTATATGAAAAATTGTCTACGCCAAAAAATAATTGTAGGGACATAAACTGAGAAACTAGATGTTTAACTCGAGTTAAAGACAAAGTTGTTTTTTTTTTTCATTTTTAACTCCATACTTGAGGTTATTTTCAAACTAGGTATTTATGAAGTACTATCAGATACCGTCAAATTTACCATTTGGGGTATACATGCAGAAAACCTTGATAGCAAAAGTTCTCAAAGGCAAGTAAAATTGGGCCTACAAAATGAGGATTTATATACATAAACACCAAAATGGGGCTCACATCAAATGGAATGATTACTTTTTACTTGATAACTCGAGTTTGTTRTACAAAACATGACCATTACTTTTCGCTCAAACTCGTCCGACACATGTYTACATAGAAATATTTCTCTGTGTATTTGAGCACGTGCTTATGCAAAATGGCTCAAATAATCTCGTATGCATTTTGACAAACAAACAGTTCGCTTTTGTTGCATTTGTTGGCCTTGCTAATCCGCATGAGAATACTTACACAACATTCACGGAATTGCTTTGCATCAATCGGTGAAGTGAAATTGAGACCCCATGTATCATTGGTCATCGGATCCTTCCAGTAAACAAAGCATTCTGATGCTTGACCAATGCGTGTGCCTGAAAGAAAGTGAGAGAGATATTTAGGATATCAAATAAATATATTATAGAAGTATACTAAARCTAAAAAGTTTATGATACATATATCCATGTAATATGACATAGTAAATTGTAGGCAATAAGAAACACAACTTCAAATTTTTTGATGATACATTGTTTTGCAATTTAAGTGACGATATGTAAGTAACARCTTTTCTAGAGAAACTTGAAATTGCAAACACCAAAAGTAGTAATMAAAAATCAGTACTAATTGATTCATAATAAAAAGAACAGCGAATGGTTAAAATTTGTATATTAATTCTAAATATGAAGTCATGTCTCACCGACTAGGGCATCTACCAACATTTTATTATCTTCAACACCAGAGGGTATTCAAACAGATTGTTCAATAAGTTTTGTCGTTCGATAAGAGATGGCGTTGCTATCAGCCCATATTTTTTTTTTTTTTTTTTTTTTTTTTTTTTTTTTTTTTTTTTTTTTTTTTTTTTTTTTTTTTTTTTTTTTTTTTTGTTTTGTTGGTACACTCTTCATGTGAACTAAAGTTTCATTTTAATCTGTCAATTTATTCTTTATTTACAAGCCTTGTCACAGAATTTGTTTTACAGTGGAAAAAATTGAATATCGTGTAGTGATAAAATTTTTATTTTTGGAAGATGAAGCACCAAAATAATTTCACGGACGAATGATAAAAGTGTATATTGATTGTTCACCTACAATTACAGCAGTTGAAAGATAGGTTGCTGAATTTAAACGTGGTCGTACAAGCCTTGGAGACCATCCACATGAAGTACGTCCAGAAAGTGCACCAACACCAGAAATCATAGCCAAAATACAGGAKATGATTTTGGAAGATCATCGATTGATCGRCTGAAAGAGATTYAKTAGAGGCCCTACACATCTCATTAGGCAGTGTGAGCCATRWTTTWAGTGAAATTTTGGACCTTACAARGCTGTGTACATAATGGGTGTTCCATTCGCTAACAATGGAACAAAAAAACACATTCGAGTGTGACTTTCTCAGCAACATTTGGAGCGTTTTAAATAGGATAAAGTGGATTTTGTGCATTGATTCATCACTACGGATGTGACTTGGCTCTATCACCATGTTYCTGAATCAAAACAAGAGGCCAAAGAGTGGCGTGAACCTGGTTGTTCGGCTTCGAAACGAGTTCGTGTTCGAAAATCGGTCAAGAAGTTTAAGGCATCAGTTTTTGATGATGCGAGTGGAATTTTGTGTGTGAATTACCTCCAACTGGTGCAACCTTTTCGACCAGTTGAAGGAAAAAATTCGTGAGAAAAGAACGGGTTTGCAGAAAAAAAATCCTTTGAAAATGAAAGAGATGAATTAAAGTTCGAATTGTTTGGAGCATCCATCGTATTCACCAGATTTTGCACCCAGCGACTGCCATTTGTTTCCAGAACTCAAAAAATGTAAGCGTTGCAAGCATTTTTCATCAAACTAAGACGTCATAATGGCTGTTGAAGCGTATTTGGCAGACCTTCCGGATTCTCACTTCAGGAAGGGGTCCACAGATTAGAGGATCCTTGGGACAAGTTTTACTTATCAAACGACAWAACTTATTGARCAWCCTGGTAGTTAMCTTCGTRAAGAGAAGAAMATACATGGTTTTCTGRTAGAGCYAATAACGGAATATGGTCAATGCGAAAGAGATCGTGGAGAGCAGCCGTTGTACTTTCGGTGAATGGGTCCACATCAAGATGACMACCGATCCCGATCTTCACAAGACAATTTTAAACCCCAATCAAGCCCACATTTGGCAGAATGGGTACGTTAATAAATTAAGTTGTCGCTATTGGATACATCTTTAAAAAGTCGCTCTTTGATGTGCTCTATGGGAGAAGAAAACCATAGATTCATATTGGTTTGTCCAAAAAGTCTTGCGGTATTTTTTTTWAATTTTTTTTTTATTTTATAACGGTTTGATGACTCATGCCCAGCTCTTGGCCGATGCTACGGCTGCTACTATGCCGGTCTCTTTCGACCAATTCAGCGATTTTATCGCAATTTTCGATGACAGGCCTTCYGGAACGTGGCGCATCTTCGACCACCTCTACACCAGAACGAAATGRAAACTGTATCGGGTCCATAAACTGCACAARTTTTATTGGCAGCTTGAGATGCATTTTTGCCTTTMTCGTAGTAGTACTGTAAAATATGCCKTATTTTCTCTTTATTTGACTCCATGTTTGCGACGCTATAAYTCACGAACGACTTAAAAGAAACCACAATCAATTAGCGCGTGAAATGAGCTTTCCAAAAAGGTATAGCATGACCCGATGCGACGAACAAAACTAGAACTACGCGCTCTCAACGCCAACTAGCGAAAATACCGCAGGACTTTTTTGACAACAAAATATATGTATCCCTCAAAATTAAGCCGGTCATAGTGTTACAGTCATATTTTTCTCGAAAAAGTTTTTCGGAACTTGTGTTGTTGTTTGCTAAAATAAGGCCTGGGGTTTGCCATATACTTGTTAAGGCGGCCCGTTTCTCCCAGATAACTAAGACAAAATTTTTTGTCTAACCGCATGCCCAGCTGCTGGGCAAAAACCAGTAAGAGTTCAGTTTCAATCCGACGTAATCGGAGCAAAGGTGCTTTCTCTTACGAATTCAATGGCTTTGGCATTTTCTTTATAACCAGAGACGTCTGGGTGAATGAAATATGTATCTTGATGCTATCGATAGTGAGAACATRCACTTCTTGACAAACTTTGAGTGCACATTGAGCAAGCYRRTATTGTAGCTCTGCTRTCGAAGTGAATGCACACTTCTCTTAAAAAGGCTGCTACCTTAATGGCAGCCTAAACTTCTTGAAAAATGTTACAGTGGTYTGGTAGCCTAAAATTATGCTTGAAGGAGAACTTCTTAGAGATAACTRATWGGTAAGTCTAGAGACMGACCAAAAATAWSGAACCTACTCTAYTACAAMATACAAATAAATGTCGASTTTGCATTATTTCTGCTAAATTAAWTTGAATTATTGACAATAAAAATAAATTTRAACGAATTTTTACAATTTTAGCATAAATTTTTTACTCACCTGGCTGCACAAGTCGTACGTCCAGTATTTTGTCCACCTGACTATTGTATGCCGTTATATGAAATACGCATTCTGGTGAATCCTGGATGCAGGTTATATTAACAGGAACCAAATCTTCAGATACTTGCTGCCATTTAACGGTACCGGCACCGCTAGCCGAAACATGAAATACCTCAGCCCACAACCTGAATGAACTGGCGCAGGTTAACCATATTCATTGAATATTATTGCAAGCGATATTGTATACAAGCATTTAATAATATTTATTGATATTATATATATTTTTCATTTAGATATGCATATTCAGACAGTTGTTGWTGTTGTGTAAGTAGGAAGTACATATTTGGAAAAATGTTTGTTGTTTTTGCAATTTTCACACAAATATACAAAAAATGCGAAAASCAAGCACGAAAAGTACGTAAGGAAGACAGGACGTTGTTGTTGTTTGTTGTAGTAGTTGTTGTAAGTTTGTTGGTTTTGTAGTTTTTGCATTTTTTCGGTTGTTTGTTGATTTTTTGATAATTATTCCACATTTTCAAATTTGTATGTAAATATTTTGTYGCAAAAATTGTAATCAGATATTTTAGGCGAAAAATTATTTTGTGTCAATAACAATTTGAAGCGAAAATATTAATATTCATATTATTAATGGTACAATGGAAATAGATTTTTTTGAATTTATATTAAAACGTTTAC